TTTTTTTTTTGCTCTTCACTTTTTTGGCGAGCAACCCTAGCAAATCGAAAAAAATTTCTCGGTCAAAAAAAGTGAAAAGCAAAAAAAAGGTCCTCATTTCCAAAATTGTTGAGGGTTCCTAAACATATTTTAGAGGGGGGTAACCCTCGTCATCACCTATAGTGTGAATTTGTGTTTGAATAAATTTTTGAAATTCGTGGAATGAATTCAAAGTAAAACGTGGAGGATTAAACAACAATATTTACAAACTGTTATTACAAGAATATACAAGAAAAAAGCGTCACTTACAAGAAAAGTGTAATCTTCGCGGTGCCTATAACAGCTCTTCGTAGCTTAAAACTTAAACGAATATTGTTCATTAACTCCATGGGAATGGCGTGGCATATTATCGTATTGATTTTTCTTCTTTTTGTGTGTATCTCACTCACAAAATTGTACGATATTATCAGGTTTGTTTTTTAAAACGCAAGTCGTCACCTAATATGATCTCCGCCGTTTGTGCTAATACATATGTTCCTAGATTTTTCTTATTTATGTATAGCTTCAAGCTTTAAAATATTTTTCGATTAGTTTTTGTCAAGCATAACTCAAGCAAAGTATCGGCTATCAACTTGAAACCTATTTTTTCGGATTCCTGAGTCAATCCGCAAAAACAATATTTTTCTTTTCGTTGCAAATGAAGTTTTTCCCAAGAGTTTGTATGGGAATCTGAAAATCAGTTGTAGCTGTTTAGATGCTCTTACAAAAAAATACCCAGAATGATCGATCTTGTGACAAGTAACTCTAGGACAGCAAACTACCACATTAACCATGGGTAATTTTTCTACGGACTAAAATATTTTTTGAATTCCACTCGTTTATGCATCGATACATCAAGCGCTATTTCCAAAGTACTTGGCAGTGTATTTTTATTACAATAATAAAATCAACAATATTTTTCACCCTTCGTATTTTTCATTTCAACTTTTACGAACTTTTAATGATGAATTTCAAATTTATACAAATTATCATCACAATACTATTTACCTTCGCACACATTTTTTAGTATAAATAACTCTGTCCCTCTCCAAACAAAGCTGGTTTTGAATAAATGAATTCACAAAGCGAAGATAAAAAAATATATATTGTAAAACCCATTTAGACGAGTATTTTTGTAAAAATGGCATTTATTCCTTGAAAAAAAGTTGCATGGACATTACATACTTTTACGTCGATTGAATTTATTTGATTTCTTAAAAAAATTCTATAAAATTGTATTGTAGAAAAATCTGAGCAACCAATTCCATTTGTTTTACACTCAATGAGCGCGTATAACTAGAGTATTAAAATTATAAATTTCACTTTAATAATTATGATCAACTAGATTTTTGTGGAAAATGTTCCGATTTGGGGGAGCTTCAATATCCAAAACTTCGTTATTTTTTGATTAGTTGGTCTGCTATATTCGATTTGTTGGTAGTGGAGATGATATACTGCCCCAATCAGATGTTGATTCAATGGACGTTCGGGCAAGCGATGAACTGTTATCGTTTAAAAGTACTTCAATGCGATCTAAAATATGATTTAAGATTCAATTAACATCGAAAATACAAAAAAATGTCAATTAAATCCTCTTCAATGCTATTTTTTTTTCCATCAAAAGCGATACAAAAAACAAAAACAATAAAAAATGAGCAGAAAATAGCATTCAAACTCAATAAAATTCTTTATTTTAAAATGTATCTCGTTGGAGTGAACACATGAAAAGAAAAAAAATGAATTCATCTTAAAAACTTAAGTTTGTTTGCCTAGTGTTTAATAAATGTCTAAAACATGATGATTAAGTATAAAATGTTAATTAAAATGAGCAGAAAACTATTTTGATTGTGTTTAAAATGATCAATAGTTGATAGTTTCGTTGAATTTAAAAGCACAACATGAGATTTAAGAATCCGATTGTAGTTCTAAGAGATTCGTTGTTCAATAAATTTTTCTAAAAATCTAATTGCGAATGTAATACATGGATGTCTCTAGGCCAAAGGAAAATATTCAATATAATTTAAGTGTAGGCGATATAATGTATATAATTAATTTATAGATGGGTAACTTCGGTTGAACTATCACTGTCATCGCCATCGTCATTGCCGTTCATCGAACGCGAACTAACGGCTAGCGATGTTGCCAAACTTGTGGCCAAACTGTTAAAACTTCGATAGGTTTTTATTGAACCGGCTATATACACACGACAATCATTTGTCAGGTCACCATTTTCAAAATCAATACAAATCAACCAAAAGAGAAGAAAAAAAAAGAGAACAGAAATAAAAAAAAGAAACCAAATTAACAAATAAAGAACTAATAAGTACATTCAAAAATAATACATAACATTCAATTAAAAAGCCACACAGACATACAATGAGCGAGATAAAAAAAAGAAGATGAAATCTACAAATCTTACCCAGTTCTGCGTTATTATCGTACGAGTAATTTGAGACCATGTCACTCTGTGCATTTTCTTCTTGTCTGTAATTTTTTTTGGAAATGATTCGTAAATAAATAATTGCTTTTTATGATAGCTGTTTTCGGCACCAGAGAAATGCGGGCGCTCACTTATTTAAAATGATTTTTTAACTGCTGTGTCTGAAGACAACAAGAAAGAGCAGCACTTACAAAAATGAGTGCCCGCACCTCCACGGTACCTGTGCCAGCTTCAATCCAATCATACTTACCTAAGAATCACGGTTTCGGTGGTTTTTCGTTCGACTTCGGTGAATTTAGTTTTTCGACGTCCAACCTTTGTATCAAATTCGGGTTCAATGATACGTCCAAATTCATATTTTGGAAGTTCACATTCTTGTGGCGGTGGCGGCAAATCCATTTTATACTTTCGCAAATGTTCCATCGATTTATTCAATACTTTTATCACAAAATCATCTTCGTATCCAAAGTCTTTGTGTAAATGAATTTGTAGAAACTGCGTCATTTCATCCATATCTTTCATATTCATTAATTTCTTTCGATGCAAGTGTAAAATAGTGTAAGCCATGGCAGTAACAACGCGTTCACCTTCTATCATATAGATATCCCAAATGCGTAGACACAAGCTAAATGGAATCTGGAAACAAAGATCGATTGAATGATTTAAAATACGACGATATATATGGTAGAGTAAAAGATTATTATGTTACCCGTTCCACGAATATCACAAAGAACCATTTGATTGAGTAGAGGATGGCGTCGAGTGAATGTTTTGTAAAGTGTTTGTGTAGTTTGGGTAGAAATTTGGCCAAAATTTTATCATGATGGCTGAGAAATCGTTGTAGTTTTGGGAAACCAACAATGAATAGACCGTGCATTGCATACTTTGGATCGCACATAAAAATGCTTAGTGCCCAAAATGCTTCTTCTTCATCCATATACATGAGTAGAATGCCAGCAACACCGGCCATACCCTGACAATAGCCGAGCTCCATATTGTACATACTGTACGCGATAAGAACGTTGAATAGACTTTTCTGTTTCGTACTATACCGTTCACAATAGTAAACATGTTCACGAAATTGTCGATTCACATCAAAATCAATTTGTCGTGTTTCGGTACTGAATGTTCGCGCCAACTTCAACATTTGTTGGTAAACGCCCTCATTTTTTGAAATCATATCTTTAATGTTTAATAAACGTTTCCACGCTTCTGGTCGTAGTTTGTTCGGAATACCTTTGTAAATGCGTCGCTTTAATTTTTCTTGTGTACTTGTTTTATTCCATCGTGATAACATGCTTAGCCATTTCTTTTCACGTATCAATGACAGTTCAATGGTTCGTTCATACTGATTATTATTTACACTATTATTAATGTCGTTGGCATTTCGATCATTCTGAATGAATCCATATCTGAAATGAGAGAAGAAATGATGATTAGTTTCTTTAAATAGCAAAGCGATTTTTTTTGAATTTTACCGATCGGCCCGATGGTAGACCTCAAATTTTGTATCTTCCCATGAGTTAATGTAATTACTACTGTCGCGTCCTTTGTCATATCGGTCAAATATCTCGTCACGTTCTTCTTTCGCGCGCAACAACAGCTCGTTTTCATTCATATTTATAGGAATTTCTCTTTTTTCAATGTTGTTTAAAAAATATATTTCGAATCTATAGATTTTTGCTTTTTTTCGTCAGAATTTGTCCGTGCCACAATGTTCATTTTATCTATGAGTGTAAAGCCAAGCTATGAGTCATTTGACTAAAAAAACACACCATTCACAAAATGAATAAATAAATCACAAACAAAAATGATTAGTTGTTGTTTTCGCGTGCAAGCGCGGTCGTTGTACCACGTTGTAAAGCGATTTACAAGCGAATTAAATTCCATATACAATAAATCTGTCTACTAGTCTCGAAATGTTTTTTTTTTTGCCAATTACAAAAAATCAAATGTCAAAATTGTCGCTCTTTCAGTGTAGGTTGATTGATTTTATCGGTTGGTGCTGTTTGTTGGTGTATCATGATGCCTCACACCATCTCTCAGCCGTTGACACTTGCATTGATGCACATTTCCTGTACAACGAGAAAAATACACACAAGTTTTTATTTATCAATGAGAATAACAAGTTCGATCGTTTCAAATGTGTTTGATCATTAACCGAAACCACCACTGTCACAACCGTACAACGCTTGAGTCATTTGAACTTTGTAACTCTTGCAATCAAATAAATTTATATGCGTATATGGAAACCATAATTTATTCACTTATCGCGAATTTTATTTGTCGTTTGAGACACAAATTTAAAAAAAATAGGCGTTTCAAGCATACTCAAGATATCTTTTGAAATGAATCTGTACATATCTTTTTTTTTCGGAATTACTGTGCAAAGAGGAAATACACTATCGTAAATGCATTCAAATGAAATACATGATTTGACATTCGATATCGGATCGCGTCTAAAAAATGTTTTTTCCTCTTCTTTCTCGTTTTTGCTGTTGTTGACTAGTTTTGTTTGGCAAATCCCGCACTGTAACACAAAAAATGTGTCACATTTTTTCTCTTTTAAATTGTATGCATAAACACACTTGTTTCGATTGCGAAATAAATAAACCCAAAAATGGTTTCTTTGTATGTTGCTTCGGAACTAAAAAAAAATACTTTTCTTTTTTCAAATGTTTTCAATCGTGCACAGCCACAAAATAACGAGAATTAATATAAAACATATCATTTACCATTTTCAATAGATTTTTTTTGTTTTTATTTCAGCTCCATTTGTTGCGATTGATTTTAAGATGTTTGAATCAACTTTTTGTTGTGAGCAAACGATAGACAGAAATAATAAATGAAAAAAAAGAAAGAAATGAAATCAATTTAAATGTTGATTCGAACAGTCTCTTTCTCTTTTCTCCCTCGTCTTTCTCACTGACAAACAAAACAAAATGAACTTGGATCGAAATAATATTTAAAATAGTTTATGACAGTGTTGGAAAAATAAATACCAGAAGAATAAGAAAGAGAGAGGGAACGAAACATCAGAAATAAAGTAAAAAAAGAGGCTAACTGACGTGAGTAAGAAATGTCTTGTCACAGTATTATTAAATACACTTTGGCAAACAAAGTATCGAGAAACCAATAAGAATTTTTAAGCGACATCTATGGGTCACATTTTACCAATCGAACAATTATCACATTGCAGATTCATGGAAATCCCTTTTTTCTTCAACAACAAAATAAATTCCATTTAATCTGTAGTGTAAATGTCATTTTAAGGTTTTGATGTGCATAACATTAATTTTGCACGATTTTCTTTGCAATTTGAATAAAATCTCAATAAATTCACGTAAATTTTGCACCGTAAACAAGCTGGAAGAATAAATTGGATCCATCAAACATACCAAGCAAAAGTATCAAAATGTATTTAAGAACGAAAAATAAGACAATTTCAAGTCCATATCAGTTGCTTATTTGATAGAGAATTAGAAATAATGATATGTTTTTCACAAACAAACCGTACAACAAAATTGAAAAAAAAAAAACAGAAAAAAACATCGGAATTACTTTTATGTGGTATCAAATTTGAGTACTTAGTCTGCCATTTCCATTAAGTATATCTGAAGAGCATTTGTGTATGGAAGTAGCGCGACGGCTGCTTCTGACATTCGATGACGCTCAAAGTGCCTCTTCTTCTTCGATTGTTATTCCAAAAACAACAGAACCGCATATTCCCATATATGTATATGCATGCCATAGCTAGCGTAAAGTGTAAACACACAAAGGAAATGTTGATACGCAACAGCGGCACATTGTACATGCACACACTGGATTGAACGTTGTAGACGGTGTCCCCGATTCAAGTGTTGTTTGGTTTCAGTAGTACGCGTACGTTTGTGCGGTAAACAGCATTTCGTTCCCGGTGAATTTATGTGTCTATTGTGCGCGCGTATGGTTGTCCGTCGAAACCGATTGAATTTTTTTCGGGATTTAGTTAGAACCTGAATATTTCGAACAAACCAAAGTGAATCCTTGTGCATTCGAATTGAATTATATGTTTCCGAAACTTTCGGTTTAAATATTATAAACAACGATTCAATTAATTACTTGCTTGAACAATTCAAAGTATCAACGACGTTAGTAATCGCCATAAAATTGGCATCGATGCACAAAATTCGTATGTATTATGTTGACGATTGTTGGTCGTTGTGAGTATTTGCGATGCGTATTTTTGCAAACTAATTATAACGTGCAAAAAAAAGAACAAGATTATTTTGCCATGAACTAAAATAAAGCTGATAATTTGCTGGAATGAAATGAAAGAAGAAGAAAAAAAACCCACCAAAAATAAGCAAACAACATTTCGTTTGATACGGTCGTGTTTTAAATTTCATGTGCGGTGCAGTTTTATTTCATTTTAAACTTTGAATATGTGTGCATTCATTCAAAGTTTCACATTGAATTTTATCAATGTAAAAAAAAGAAACAAAATATTATCGAAATAATATCAACTGTCTCATTTGAATGTGAAGGATACTTGTGATTTTAATGCAATGCTCTTTTGTTCCAAACTTTTCAAATTTAAAACCGTCAAAAAGTTATAAATCTAGTGCAAGCGGCCAAATTATTCATTCAAAAAGAAATGAAAAAACTATGAATCGAAAGGACATTTGAAAAGCATACACATCAAATTCGGTGTTTTTTGTTCGACAAAGAATAAAAACAACAACACTAATGCAAACGCAATAACAACACACCAAAGCAAAGAAGTGACAAGTGCTACGGTTTATTAAATGCATTTGTACAAAGGCAATTTAAAAGTATAAAAATAGAATTCAATTCTCAATTCAATGTGAAGAAATGTATGTTTCTCTGTTTTGGGTCGTCAATCTTTGTACTGAAGAATTTCGCTAGAGAGGAATTTTTCTCGTCAATACGCATTGAAATCAAACCGACAAACACGAAACAACTTAATATTTTCAAACGTTCGCATGTACATTACGTGTGGTTGTCGTTTGGCGTTATTATGCGTCATTGGTTGAATGCACATTAAATATTTTTGAAGCTGCAGTTTATTGAACAAATCAGTTGAAGAAGAAAAAAAAACACACTACAACACAAAGATATTTAAAGACGACAAACGAGCTACGGATAAGATAGAAACGTTGAAACTCTATTGAATAAATATGTGTTAAATCGAAGTAACAATATATTTTTTTTCTTCTCTTCATTTGTGTTTTTTTTTCTATTTCTTTCTTTGACAATATTCATCTTTATTTTAAATGAACATTTGTTTAAACCATTCAAAATGTGCGTGTGTGTCAGTACTTAGTGTAAACGAATAAGGAAGAAAAGAGATATAGTTGTGTGCAAGCAATAAGAATATTAGTACCAAATATACTCATCTATTTTGTGTACCTGCACTGTCTGTGTGTATGTGTGTATGACGAAAAGCGAAATTCAACAGCAAGTGAAAATAGAATGTCTATTTATTGCAAAGTGTTTTGAAAATAAAGTGCTGTTTAACGTTTATTTTGTGCTCGTTTTTGTGGACACGCATCAAATGATGTTTTTTTACTCATTATTGAAAGTGTTTTTCTAATTGTTCAAATCAAAATATTACTTAAGCGACGACGAAGATAAAAGTGTTTTTTTTTTCTTCATCCAAATGCCACCAAAACAAACAGCACATATATAAATTCATCAAAGTTGGCATCAAAGCCATAGAACATTTGGGATCTCCTCATAGTTTGTGCATGTATAGGGCAAAGGTGAATACCATTTTCATAAAAAAAATGTCGTGCCATCTTCATCATCATCAACAAAAAGACCAACAACATAGACTTTTCGAGCCGGATGACGAATGGAAATGTGACGATGATACACAACGACAAAAACATCGATCACGGCAAATAATAAAAAATCATCACATCTATTTAGTCGGCATATTTAGTTTATATATAGTGTTGTTGCAATGGAGCACCTGCCATGCGATGCACGAACAAACCGATATCGTGTCATCAGGCGATCTATCGCCATCGATGCCCGCACACAATAAATGCGAACCAATCACCATATCGATATGCAAAAATATACCATATAACATGACCATAATGCCAAATTTATTCGGACATACGCGACAAGATGAGGCCGGTTTTGAGGTGTATCAATATGCGCCATTGGTTAAAGTCGGTTGCAGTCCGGATTTACAATTTTTCTTATGCTTATTGTATGTACCATTGTGTACGATTTTGGATCATCCGATTCCACCGTGCCGAAGTTTATGTGAAAGTGCACGTAAATGTGAAGTGGTTATGAAAAATTTTCGCATTGATTGGCCAGAAAATTTAGAATGTTCAAAATTTCCAGAGGATGGCCCGGGCAAATTGTGTGTTGGCCAAAATAATAGCAATGAAAATGATTCGCCGACAAAAAATACATTTCATCCAACCAAAGTCATTGACAGTGATACACGACGCAGAAATAATGCACCACATCATTCGAATGCCGGTGGTATGACATCACGTAATTTTCGTTTTGTTTGTCCATTACAATTGAAGACACCGGCCGATATGGGATACTCATTAAAAATTGACGGATCGGTAAGCATTTCTCTTTTTTTCACAACTATTTTTATTATTATTTTATTATTAATGCTCTGAAGCGACAAATGATGAATTGAAAGATGTGCAATGAATGATTGAATGTGCAAGGTTGTGTGAAACAAATGTGTGTAATGTGAGTAAGCAGCATTCACTAGATCATGGTTGTTCTTCTCGTCTTTCGTCATCTTTTCGGCTATGATATGAAATTGTGTGCGAAAAAATTGTGAACAGAAACCAAGCCAAATTTAATTAATGTTCAAAAATTCAGTGATTTTCACGAATCCGTCGGTGTTCTTATGTATTTACGATGATGAGAAGGTTCTCATCTCTTGCATAAAATGGACCAAAGACTGAAATAAAATAAACGCGAAATATATTGCACGATATTTTGGATCGAACGATTGAAATGAAAACGTTTTTTTGTGAAAAGCGGAGGCATTTCAAAGACGGGCAGAGAGCGAAAGAGAGGAAATTGGTGCGCCGGTATTTTGAGACCGAAAGCAGATATATGTAATTCGATTATATATTGACGTTGGTTGTGGTACAAGAATTGATACAACGATATGCACGAACGAATGCAAAACGAAAACGGCGTAAAAAAAATGACGTTCCACAAGAATTGTTTTTTTTTTTTTGGTTTGTGCATAATTTTGCGTGTTTGTGTGTATGAGCGTTTTTTGTTTATAATTTTTATTGGCATACATACGGTGGTCCGTTCGTCTGAAAGAGTTCATTTGTAAGTGCCATGTTGTTGTATTCCATCTGGTTCTTTTTTCTTCAGTTTTCGTTTTTATTGCACACCAACTGCGAATTATTTCTTCATCATTGCTTTTTTTCTCACTGATGCCAATTGTGGCACCAATTTTTGCATATTTGTCACAAATACATTATTTTCGGGATTTTTCCAAACGAAACCAATAATACATTTTTTTATTCACAAAATGATTACAATCATCCAAAACATAAAAATGTTCAAGGCGGCAGCAACAATCAATTCCAAACACACACACACACACATTCTTATATCATTATTCTCAAGTGGAAATATGATCTCAGTTCGCACAGCATAAAGCTTGAATTCGCTGTAAAACAGTCCAAATGATATGCCCATATGTATAGATTGCAGTATCTTAAGTGACCATGGTGTACACATTGATTCAGAAATTTGATATATGCGAACACACATCACATTAAAACACATAAATGTGTCAGCTTTCATGTATGTTGTGCATTTTATTTTTATTGACTCGATGATATTGCACTTTACACTTAGCTGAAGCAAGCGATTGGCTTCTTTTTCGTTTGCTTAATAAACTCTGTCGATCAATCTATCTCATTTTTGCTGCTGCTGTTTTCTTACCTTGACAATATTTCCAAATTTAATTCGTTCATCATATTCATTCTATGAGCCAAAAAGCCATAAAATTACCAGTTTAATAGTGCGTCACAACCAGTTTACAAGGAGATCATTTCACTCGACATATTCTTATAATTTGACCTGTGTTTGCCGTTGATATTTTGATGAGTGAATTGGCCTGATTCTGAATTCGAGTCGATTTTACAAGACGAAACAGACAGAATCCCATCTTAACAATCTCTTACAATCGCTGTCATTAAATTGAAACTTATCACAAAGTTCTTCTTTAAAATTGGTGATAAAAAAACAGAAATTTAAACATTAAATTTTCTCTCCCGTTGAGTTTTTTCAACTTTTACATATTTTGCCCCAATAACAAATACGAATCAAATTTGCACTCTATTTTTGATTATCTATAAGCCAATAAAAGTCATATGGGAATATTCGATGTTTGTGTATACCTGGGATACTGCAGAATAATTACAAGTGGATAACAAACGCGAATATCAGTTGTTGTCGTGTTTTTTTTTTGTATATCAACACAACATGGCATGTTCAAGCTATTAACTTTAATACGCTGCGATTTAAGACACGAAATCGTTGAATACACACAACGCATTGGGGGAAAAAGAATATATCGCGATAAAAAAAAAGTTGGACAACAGACCATTAACTAATCTCTGAACTTGATCGCACACGATAAATTATTATTCAATCGCAACGCTGGAATGAAACACAACGATTTACTAAAGAGTGCACACTTAACGAAGCCATATATTACACTTGCGCTTCAGCGAATGAATGAGTTAAACGCCACCCTAAATGTTAAAGGTCACATTACTTTATATGGGAATGCACTGTGTATTTTTGTAATAAATGTATGTGTATAATCTATATAGTATGTATATTTCGTGTTTATTCATTGAATTTCAACACCAGTCAAAACAGTATTCACACATCTTTGCATTCCCAATGAAGCGAAAAAATATAATGGACTTAGCTAATATCGTATGGGAATACAAAAAAAACCTCCATTTATACTAATTCAATATTAATTTGTAATCCATTTAACGTAATGTATCTTGGACTACACTTTGTGTACACATTGTGATTTTTTGAAGCCAAAGAGAAAAAAAATCGTAAAAGATGCATTCGAAACGACGTGTTCAACAGTTATATGTATATGAAAGAAAATGAATCTCACTGATCAGCCATACGATAATTTTGGCTTTTAACTCAGTTGTTATTCACACTTATACACGATGGAAAATGATGCCGCTATTGATGAGATGATATTATACGATGAAAATTAGAAAAGCGCATCACTTAATTGTATTCTTTTGAGTCAATTGATGCTATATTTACATATCACTTTGGTATTAGTTACATTTACTTTTCGTTTTCTGAAGTTCTCACAAAACAAATGGTGTAACTTTTATTTACAGAGTGATTATTTAATGCTTCTCATATCATGTATTAGTCCGAATTTAAAATCACCCAAACGAAATGTAACTAATTCTCAAATTGGTTTCATTTATGTTAAATTTGTTCACATTTTCCTTTAAATCGATTTAGTGGCTCATCTTTGTATTGGAACATTTGTTATTATTGGAACCTCTGCAATTTACTCAGTCATTCAAAATGTTCATCTATTAATTGGACGACAACTTTCATTTTGAAGATTGTATCCCATCTAGAAAAAATCAATTTATAAATTAAAAAAAATTTGAACAGTGAAACTCCTTAAAAAGGAACAAATTTTAAATACGCTTACTTCATTCCGAGGAAAATATCTCTCATTAGACAATTTGATTAATGAAATTAATTGGCATGTGTAGTGTATTCCTCTTATTTTACTATAATTTATAGTTGTATGCAGCTTCAATCGTAGTTTTTGAAGTTATCGATCCAAGGAGAACGTGGTAAAATAACGGCCGAAGTGATCCCGAAAAATTTGACATAAAAACACAAAATAATTGTGTAGATTGGATATATTATTGGTTTTATAAATATGACTAGGGAAATACGAATGTCATTAGTCATTGTTAACATTGAAATATTACTTTCAAACAAAAAAAAATCTTAATGAAATCCCATAGTCTAGCTCGATTTGTCTACCTGGCCATACATAATTGTGCACCTGCATTTTAATGAAGTCAGGTTCGTTTGTACAAGGTATATCATATGTGGGGTTAAAGAGTGTTGTTAAAAATATGCATTTTTCCGATAAAATAAAATCGATTTCGAAAGTGATACCTTCAAACACCAATATGATGAATTGTACTTTGTCTTGAAAGAGCTGGGAGACAAAAATAAAGTCATTCTCTCGAATACATTCCATACAAAAGTCAATAAACTGCTGCTGAATTGCCAGCAGAAATGTTTTATAATATAATATAGATATTAAATGTGAGTCTTCGTGAAATTGAAACAAAAAAAAATGGAAAAAATCCCAATCTTTATGTTTATTTAATCATTGCAATCAGCTCCGGTGTTTCGCGCAAAAGGCGATCGAATTGAATTATTACAATGTGAAAAGAGTGAACAAAAAAACTACAGAGAGAGAGAGAGAGAGAAGAGACTATTTCTCACATATCCATTGTAAAGTGTGGTGCGCTCATACATTCAGTGTTTTGTAGCGAGTGTAAGAGATCTGCGAGGTGACACTTTGAGAATGTGGATTAACCATCAACAGGCTTGCGGCTATTTAGAAAGAAAAACCGCTGAACAAAACGTTGTACAATTGTTTTATTTATTTTATTTTATTTGGTTTGTTCTTATTTCATTTTGGGTTGGCTGTGTTGTGTGTGTATGTTTTTTTTTCTACTTCTACTTCGTCTTTCTCTTTCTCTTAGTCATCCATAATATTTGATCCATTGTATTTTTTTTTCTTATTCTTCGACTCACCGTTGGCTTGTAATTTTCAGTTACCATTCTAGTTGGTTTTATATTTAGAATGATTGGTTGTTAAGCATGAAAATAAGACGGAAAGAGTGAAAGAGAATGAACGACAAAGAAAAAAATGGTATTAATCGAAATACGTGCGTACGCGCGTACCTCATTATTCCCGTTGGTGTGTTTGTATCTGCTTTTTTTTCTCTCCTTTAATTTCTTCTTATGTTACCATCACATTCATGTATATACGGCAGTGTATTAATTTTGGTTTGGATCACAAGAAATCCAACAGCCAACAAAAGCCATAGAGATGAAAGAATGATATTGCAAGAAAAATACGTACATGTACATGTTTGCTTTTTTTTCTCTCAACACTCTTTGCTCTTTGCTTCTCAGCGATTGAAAATAAAACCAACAGAGAGAAAATACTTGTGGTTTTAAACGCCGAACGCAATGAATTCTTCCGGAAAATTTCATAGAAATATGAAGACACGCGAGAACAACCACAAAACAATGTGTGTCTGCGTTGTGTATACAATAAACTTTGCTTTGGAATGAAACGCGTTATTTCATACGGTATGGAGTTCTCTCTCGCTCTTTTTTGCAATATTTATGGATTAGAGTGCATCGGTTTTCTTTTAAATTGCTGAATTCCAACATATCCACATATCGCGGGGAGGGTCGCAGGAAAGTACTTGAAATGCTTTTCTCCTTTTTACGAAAAATGGGGATCTTATAATGAGGG